TGCTCTTTATGATATTTAAAATAGCTACTTAAACCATTGCTGAGATAAGGCCAAGTCAACCCTAAAAATTCCTAGGCCAGAAGTGAAGGATTTGGACCATTCTCTCCAGCGGTCCCCAGTACTGCCCTGTCTTACCAGCATCCCTCTCCCCCTCCCCACTACCAGGCATGCCCAGGGCCATACAGGTACATTGACACAGACACAGAAACCAGCACGTACCCCTGCAATCCTGCTCGTTCTTGATGCATATGGAAGGAGGCTTCTGCAGGTGTGGGCTACCTCTGGGAGGAGAAGCATCCAGAAACATAGGTAGGTTCTAGTCCTGACGCCCTTCTGAAAGGCAGGTGGTACAAAACAGCCTGATGAGCAAGACTGCTCAACAAAACATCAACAGTATGTTGGCAGTTCGTTTCAAAAGCCCTCCCTCTCCCCCTAATTCCTTGTGACTTTTTATAGTTTTAGAAAAGTTCGTTAAAAAAAGATAAATGTGGATTGTTTGTACAAAAAGCAAGTGGAAGGGGATTATTTTTTCAATCTTTCATAAAGCAATATTAAAAATATCAAAGGAGTAACACCTTTTTCTGAGCATTTTGTTTCCTTTCCAAAGCCTTTTCTGAGGGAAAAATATTTTCACAGATTTTCAGCATATTCCATTAATAGATTTACTCTCATCTCACCTGGCACTGGGCTGCTAATAGAAGGAATCGCACCCAGTGGCAAAGAATGATGATAAACATCTTTCACATCTAGGCTTTGACTTCCATCTACTCTTTCTAAAATCCACCTTTTGCCTCCTTTTTCCTTAAAAATCTTTAGGGCACTCATAAAGAAGAGGCCACAGATAACACATCTTGATAGATAAAAAGTAAAGCTTTGAAAAAAAAAAAGTAATCCATCCTCCACTAGCCCAAGATCCTTCACTGCAATATATTGCATTGCTTTCTCTAGATTAGATTCAAAATTCTCCAAGGAAAGGACTCCCACCGCTTCCCTGGAGAGCTTATTCCAGGCTAATAGATCTCAATGTCACGGATATTTCTCCTGCTGTTCAGCCATAATTCTTTCCTTATTTTTTCCTCTCTTGCTGCCATTATAGTCCCTTGCACCATGTTAAATTATTCTCCTTTCCACATGGCAAGTTAGCTGCCTACCAGTGTAAGAGGAATATAAAAACCTTCCACAGCAAATTCTTATCCCAGGGACCACTTCTGTCTGTCAAATAATTATCACTGTTAAAAGTGAGCTGGGGAAAAGGTAAAGTAACGCACATGGCTTTAGTGTGGAATAAAATGAATAGGTAATTCAAAGTACATCCTTCCTGACAGTGGCCAGAAATACTAAATTTGACTCAATGCTGCTTGTTTAACCTGAAACAGTCCATAATATACTGGTACTGCAACCCAGCGTTCATCGTTCTAGTTTAGACGGCCTAAGGGGTCTGCGTGAAAACGAGATTCATACCAGCTAAAGAAAGCAATGTTTTTTCAAATATTTTGCTTTTTTAAGTAAAGAGGTTGTAAACATGTAGTACCTCACACGTATCATAGAGCAAGTTCAGTATATTAAAAATCACATGTAATTTATGGGTTGCAAACATCCCTTGGATCCTGTAATGTTTTTTTGCCAGACTAGAGCAGAGTTATGAAGTCAGCATTCATGGATTGCTTGTGAACATCAGCAGCTTTGAACTGAAGACTTTATCCTACTTTTAAAGACAGGTGAATAATACACCTTTTCCACATAATTTACCAAACAAATATATCTTAATTGATTTTTTTTTAAAAAAAAAACCCCACACTTATTTTTCTCCAACACTTTAAGCAACTGCACTAGATATATGACTTCAGAGATCAAGTTCTTAGGCTTCGCATTTAACGATGCCATAAACACTCTTCACAATAGTTTTGTCTTTCTAAAACTCTAAAAGCAAACAGAAGGCAGTGTGCACATCGATTCCAGCTAGGAGAGTTAGCATCAGGAACCTCTGCTCTGCTCCCCGTTGTCTTGCTGAATCACCAAGTGACCTCGAAGAAGTCATTTCACCTCTCTTTGCCAATTACACAAGCTGTATCGAATTTATTACTTCTTCTTCCAATAAGTGAAGCTCAACCCATGCACACCTACAAACCCCCCCCGAGAACTCTCGAGCAAGCGTAGAAGAGTACTGCTACTCACGTTCAAAATGCAAAAACTGTGCCAGAAGAACTTCAGGTGGATCAGTCAAAAGACCAGGTGACAAAGAGCTTGTGAAAATCCCTTCGTGAGTTTTGTCCTCGGTCGCGAGTCCGTCACTGTGTGTGTACACGCGTGCACGTGTTTCTTTTCGTTGCGATCTCAACTAGTGCTCGTCACAGCAGTCACAGCTGCCTGGGTGGGAAGTCAACAGCCAGACCCAATGCTCCTCTCTGTTCTGTTGCAGCAACAACTGGGAGCTCCCACTGGCTCCTCGGACCAATGAATTATCCTACAAAACGCGTGTGATGGTATATTTTTGATAAATCAGTAAGGCATTCCAATGCAATGGTGTTTTCTTTAGGAGTTTTATGTTATGAGAAGCTCTCAACCTTATTATTTTCTATTTTCGTACTATGAACGGGCTTTGCTTACAAACATCAGAGGACAGATACAAAATGTACTGTATACAACTGCAGGTAGCTTCATTTGAGAACAACTTTCTAGAAGAACCAAGTTTCCTGTTGTCTTCTTTTGGAATTGTAGTGCATATGTTGAAACTTGTATATCATTTACAGTATTGAGTCTTGTGCCACTGCTGTACCTGATGTATCCAATCTGGATTAAACAGAGTATGTGCCACAAATACCAAGATGATGCTGTAGATTTCTTCTAAAAAAATTCCGGGAGGCTCTTTTGGAGAGCTGTGGGTGTTGGCCTAAGCCACTCGAGTTGTATTTAAATATTAATAATTCTTACTTAAGCAGCCATCAACAAAAACAGCAAGATGACCAAGATGTTATAGGAGAGCAATCACGCAGGTAGCTAAGTGCATCTCTTACAGTATCCTCCTTTTGAACGTTAAGATTTGCAACAAAATTCACCTTGGAAACAAAATCCTATCGTCTTGGCCTTTTCAAACGATGCAGACAAGATCTGGGAGAGGCCCCTCCCTGGGGTAATGTGTTGTGACACAAAGGGAGTAAGGCAGGGGGGGAGAAAAAATACAAAAAGAGAAACTTCTCCTAACGAGGTATCTATTATATTTAAAAAGCGTATCTTACCCCTTTGCCTTTCAAAAGGCAACCTCATCTTGGCAATTCCGTTCAGGCTGAGGTCTTGCATCCTGTAGGGCAGAGCCAGCTCGTTCCGACCGCAAAACGAGTCGAGCTGATCTCACCCAAACCATGCCAGCAAGCGCCACGTGGAGGCATTATTTAAAATCCTCAAAAACCTTTGAGCAGAAATTAAGTGACTCTAACTAATTCACTCTAACACCCACCGAGTTAGAGCTGAGCAGAACTTACCAAGTGCTTTTCTCTCCTGCAGTAAAGGCTGGCACGCACTAGGGGCCACCACTGCCCAGCTGGCAGGAGAACCACACACCCACCCGGGGCAGGACGAAATTCCTGCGATGAAATTCCTACACCACTCATGAGCTAAAATCCATCTTACAATTCTCCTGCACAGTGAA